GAACAAGCTTTGTAAAAAAGCTGCATGTTTTAATTCAAGAAATAAGTAAAAGTTCACAAGCAATCCAAAAGAGGTGCCAGGAGCTCACGTCAAACAACTGGCCGCACTTCCTACAGAAGTTCCATCTCCATAGAGTCACTTTGGCCAGTGCTTCCTGAGATGCTCTTTCAGCTGAGGAATGGAAGGTAGCAGCTGCTGACACTCATGACAACGAAGCGGCAGCTTCAAGAGCTCAGGCATCCCGTCTGGAACAGTCACTCTGCCAGCCTCTTGTACCATCTGAATCACAGCTGCAGGCAAGAGAAAAAAGTTCAGATCCCAGTTACTCTGGAAGGCTGGTATATAAGGTATCAAAAAAGAAAATGACTACAAATCAAAATATGCCAGATATCCTAAAGCTTTGAATATCACATTGAATAAGCGTAGGGTTGCACCCACGATTATTGTTAATTGTTGTCAATTACAATGGACAATTGACTCCTGCTGGGAAAATGGGCTTGATGAGCTTCTAAATCTCAACCTATCTTTGAGATGATTCCATGTCTTTGGACACACTCTAAGCAATCCGTGTAACTATGTCAAGGGCTTATCACAGTGTTTTACCCCTGCTGGCCCTTGGTAAGTGGTAGCTATCACTGTTAACACCCCAGCATATTGCAGTTCTATAATATATTACCAGGAAATGCCACCTTCTACATGTGTAATGGTTAACTGCTACAGCTGCTAACCAAAAGGTCAGCAATTCGAATCCACTAGGCACTCCTTGGAAACCCTCTGGAGCAGTTCCACTCTGTCCTATAGGGTCACTATGAGCTGGAATCAACTTGACAGCAATGGGTTTAAGGGTTTTTTTGGTACATATACACAGCCTTCCCCTGTCAATGGACCACTCCTGACATGAGGTGGCCCCTGAGCTCCCTCCCAGAGAAGAGACAAAGAACTGTTGAAAGCTTTCCCATCTGCGAACTCCAATAATCCTCAGGACAACTTAAATGTCCTCCTGTTACAACAGAACACCATTTAGACCCTGATGAAACAACTTTCTCAAGTCACCCAAGAAAGCTGCTCACAGCAAAGTAGCAATTCTACTACAATCCAAATAATCCGGATTCTCTCAATGGAGCTCTCTTTACAGAGAACACAAAGTTGTATATGGGTTTTTGAGCCCAGGTTATTATTTAGGAAAACAACTGTAACAAGTATAAGAACAGCTGAGAAAGCGAAACAAACATGAAAACCAAAGAACAGTGTTTACCTTGTGATTCTAAGAAGTATTCTGTATTGAAAGAATTCCAATGTTTTTTGTTTTTAAGGCAGGGGGAATCAAAATCCTGGCTGATCACATGAAGATGTACGTGGCTAGTGGAAAGGAAAAAAAAAATTGACCATTAAATCCATTAAAAACTATGGCTAAATCATCCCAAGAGACAGAATGGGCCACATAAACCAGAGACTTCATCAGCCTGAGACCAGAAGAACTAGATGGTGCCCAGCTACCACCAATGAATGTCCTGACA